GTGTAGAGCTGCTAACTTGGCCTCTCGACGTGCACGACCATGATCCACCACATCCTGCGCATTGGCACCTCCCCCGGCCGGGTTGTGCCCTCGCGGTGAGTTACGGCGACGTGCACTGCTTGACACGGCCGGTTCATCCTCAACGTGCCTGCTATAGCTCTGGCTCGGGCGGGGGTGGAATGAATCCTCTCACGACTATGCGAATAAGCATGCTGCTGGTTTAAAGTTGTTTGAAGGAGCTCTCTGGCCCGTCGTGCCTCAATTGCCACCGGTGACTCGCCATCGGTTGGGGGGCTGCCAATCGCGAAGCGGCGGCCACAATGTTGTCCAACGGGTTGGAGTAATGCCCCGGGGGCGTCAGAACATACTGCGGCACAATGTTGTTTTGGCGAGGCGGGTCCATCGTGCGCGGCTGAATCGGCGCTCCTGTTCCCGGCGCCTCCGTCCGGTTTAACACTGGTTGGTTACTAGTTCCTGCTCCTGGCGCGTTGAAGAGATTTCTTGTCTCATAACCCGATGGGAGATGCGATCGGTATCTTCTTCTCATGACGTCCTCTGAGGCATTCTGATCCAGCCTAAGCCGGTAGGCCTGAGATTCCAACTCGACCCGTTTCGTAGCCACCCTAGCATTCTCTGCTGCTAGGTCCGCTTTAGCCTGAGTTATCTGATCTTTCACCTTCGCAATCTCCGCATTGTGCTGGTCCCGGGCTGCTGCGTCTACCTCCGCGGCCATCAATGTTGCCAAAGCGTCGAACAAGTCAGACAGAACTTGAGCCGGAGGCGGCGCAGAGCCTGCTGCCCCCGCCGGCGTTGCTGTCGCTGAACCGGAGAGTATCGCCATGGCGGTTGATGAGTGGTGTGCTGATTATGTACCGGCCATGAAGATAGCGACCCGGTTTGGCAGATCGAGGGGGTCCGGAATACTGCTGCCATCGGACCCTCCGCTAATCCGGCCGTCTTGCAACTGATACAGCGATTCGGTCTCTCCAGTTGAAGACTCGTCGTCGGAGCAGACAACAGTTTCTCCATCAGATGCCGGTCCATCCTCATATTCCGTTCCGTGGATGACACCTATGAAAACATGCCTTGCTGCGGGCTGAACCGGGGAAGGGCTTGCACGCTGAGCCGTCTCGACGATGTCGGTGCAGGTGTCCGACTCAGGGCCCGGTTCGCCGATCTTGCCAATGAAGACGTGAATCCCGCCAAAGGGGACCCGGTACCCGTATTCGATTGAACCGGCCTCGGGGCCCCATCCCGCGTCGTCGATGTAGAGCTTGCCGCGACGACTCTTCGTCATCCGGCCCACAGCGTATCCCTTGAGTCCATCAAAGCTGCCCTTCAAGAACTCGAAACCATCGTGCGATAGCCCCACGGTGGGCGCCAACTGTCGTGGGTTTGTCACGGCAGATGTCCTCGAGAAAGGACTTAGTCGTGGAGCCATCGCTACGGGTTAGCTTAAAGGGGTTAAACCGGACAAGGGGACATGAGGGGTTTTATACTAGTTCGGCCCCTTCAATGAAGGTAAAAGTCTACGTCTAGTTGTGATTGGTATTGCTAGGGTTTCGATGACCAGGGAGCGAATCCGCTTTGTCTGGCTCTCGAGTTGTTGTCTGTTGTCCTCAAACCGCGGCCGGGTCATCCCTTTATATACATAGGTTGACGCCCGCCGGTTCACAGAGTCCCGAGGCCGGATCATAGAGGTGTCCGGCTCGGTCTCTATTCCTCTAACTTACAATACAAGTTGCATGATAAAGTCGGTTCACATCTACAGGCTTTAATCCGCCTTTGGGCCTTGGGCCTTCGTAAAGCGCCACCATCTTCACATCTTCATGGGCTTCTATCTTCATGGAGGTAACCCGGCCACTCCTAGCCGGTTTACCTCCGGTAACCATATCCCCAACAGCAGGGGTGGGGCTTTCCAGCCTGTCGATCATTGGGTCCGGAACGACCCGTAATGTCGGGGTTGGGCAGAAAAGCTCTCTGCAAGTGGGATGTAGCGCAAAACGGTCGCGGCTGGACTAAAATTGAGGCACGAGATAGGTTTTTGGGGGAAAAGTCATTCTAGGAACGGGATTGCGAAGTCGCGGTCAATTGAGACTTAACTAAGTCTTAGTCAATGCTATATTCATAATTTTATGTTGAGATTCGGTGCAAAATTTTCTTTTTTCTTTTTAATTTGTCTTTCTTACATGTTATATCACTTGACTTAGACTTGCTTAAGTCTCAGTCAACTAAGACCAAGACACAACCTTCCATGAAAATAAATTGGGATATGCTAGATATACAGGGATTAATCCCCTAATAGCTTAGCACGCATCTCTCGCCGACTTGTGGATCCGGCCACAGCCTGCCTTTTGAAGCAAAATTGTCACCCTTTTCTCCCCCCAAAGCAACCAGTCACACATCCAAAGTCAAAAGTGGTGCGCCTCAAAGCTTCACTTGTAATTTTCTAAACCCCGGATTAAATTGTCAGCCACCGTTTTGACATGCATGTCAGATACAGATGCATTATGAACTGAAGTAGCACGTACACTGGGTACCAATTTCCGGCTGTGATAATGCGGAAACATCGTAGCGTAGCAAGGGGAGCATCGCCAATCTCGAGGAACACTACTAGACTGCCAGTGCTAGAGCTAGTTGTTGCCGATCTTCAGGCCGCGAGCGCGCAGCAAGTGTGGTCATGCACGGGGCAAAGCACCGGATCACCACCACCTCGCAGCAGCAACAACATCTCGGTGCGGCGATGGGCGGCGGCGTGGACAGCCACGGGCACCGGCTGGCTCGGCCAGCGATTCGGCACGCCAAGCTCAAGATGCTCTTCGTCGTCATCGCCACCAACCTCGTCTCGGTGTACCTCTTCTCCGGCGCGTCGCTGTCGCTCAACATGCCCGCCTCCGCGCCGAGCATCCACCTCTGGGACTCCACGGCGCTCCTCCGGGACCTCAACGCCACCCGCGACGCGCTCTCGCTGGCACGCGCGGAGCTGGCCTTCCTCCGGGGGCAGTGCGGGACGTCTTCGCTCCTCCTCGAGTCCGTGCTCGCCAAGCTCGGAGCCGTCCACGGCGATACGCCGGCGGTCCAGGACTTCAATGGCTGGCCCGAGGAGCCCACGGGCGAGCTCAAGATGGCCATCGAGCCGCACCGGCTCCCCCTCGGCTACTCTGTCAACTTCGGCACCGACGAGCTCTTCCCGGGCCTGGGCCTCGCGTGCCGCAACTTCCAGGAGGAGCTCACGCGGTACATGACGTACAACGCCAGCGCCGAGTGCCCCGACGACGAGGCCCTCGCACTTCAGCTCATGCTCAAGGGGTGCGAGCCGCTGCCGCGCCGGCGCTGCCGGCCACGGTCCCCGGCGAGGTACGTCGAGCCGAAGCCGCTCCCGGCGAGCCTCTGGTCAATCCCGGCCGACACGACCGTGAACTGGTCCCCCTACACGTGCAAGAACTACACCTGCCTCGTGGAGCGCGCGCACAGCAGGGGCGGGTCGTACGACTGCAAGGACTGCTTCGACCTGGCGGGCAAGGAGCGGCGACGGTGGCTGTCCGACAACGGCGGCCCTGGGTTCAGCATCGACGGCGTGCTGGGGTCCAGGCCGCCGGGCACGGTGCGCATCGGCCTGGACATCGGCGGCGGGACCGGAACCTTCGCGGCGCGGATGCGCGAGCGCAACGTGACCGTGGTGACCACGACCCTGGACCTGGACGCACCCTTCAACCGGTTCGTGGCGTCGCGCGGGCTGGTGCCGCTGCACATCAGCCTCGTGCAGCGGCTCCCCTTCGCCGACGGCGTGCTGGACATCGTGCACTCCATGCACGTGCTCACCAACTCGGTGCCCGCCGCCGTGCTCGAGTTCGCGTTCTTCGATATCTACCGGGTGCTCCGGCCCGGCGGCGTCTTCTGGCTCGACCACTTCTTCTGCCTCGGCCCGCAGCTCAACGCCACGTACGTGCCCATCCTCGACCGCGTCGGCTTCCGCCGGCTCCGGTGGAAGGCCAGCCCGAAGCTCGACCTGGGGGCGGAGAGGAACGAATGGTACGTCTCGGCGTTACTAGAGAAGCCCATGGCATGATCGCGCCTTGTGTCATGTTGGTAATTTGTTTCTTCACTGCCAGTTGTGTTTTGAGGGAGCATAATTGATACATGAAACAGGGTTAAGATAATTATAGGTACGCGTGAGCATACCGAAATGGCGAAATTGTGGCAAATTTTACATGATTTCTGAAAGATTCACAGAAGAATAATCCAGTGCAACTGTTGCATGATAAAACCTCCTGCTACGTAGCACGGGTAGCAGCTTAATTCATGTCAGACGCAGCACATGCGAGTGCATTCATGTACTCCAATCTTCTGTCAGGGACAGATATACTGAAGTCTCACCAAATCAGTACAGAACATGTATAACATGTTTAGATACCTACTGGCTACGTCGTGTGAGATGTAAGCAGCATTAGCGCTGTTTAGTGATCAGCAAAAGAAGAAGAAGCTTGATTTCGATCAGAAATCTGCATCTACAAACGCTTGCTGTCAGATACCGAGCCAACAGAAACATACGGCCCCAAACCATACAAGAACAGAGTAGGAACACAGGAATCACTGCCGACATAGGCGACAACTGACATGAAGCAACCACACAAGACAGTAACTGAAAGGGAATGCCATAACAGCATTTATAACTCTGACAAATAAAACTTAAATGTTAGGCCCAGTTTCAACACTGATGGAAATCCCAAAGATATAACAGCACAAGTTCAACATACCAACCAAAGCAAGTGAGAGAACTAATGATTTATGTTTGGACAAGCTAGTGTCGGTACATCCACCACATAAAAACAACAAATTGTCCAGTTCACGAGCAAGATGGATTTTTCTATGATCCAATATAACGACCAACATGCAAAATCAAGTGCCAACATGCAGGATTACATGTCTTAAAGACAGCAAAGGAACTGAAAAGGCTGAAACCATACCAAACAGGCAAACTATCACATGCTTAGCAGCCTTCAAGCCATGATCTTGGCCGACCTCATGTAAAGACTGTCCACGACCTTTCCGACATTTGAAATGGTTTCCAGTGTAGCAGGGAAGATGGCCTCTGTCTTCTGATCCTCAAAGATAATGAGGCAACCAGCACCTTGATCCAGAGTACCAGCAAATTTCTTGTCTAGAATCATCTGCGACAGCTTCTTCTCAACATCATCAACCGCCAATTCAATCATCTGTGCAACATGCCCAATCTCCACTCTCGAGTAGGGCTCAATCAACCTGCAGAGATTCTGCTCCAGGAGGGTATCATACAGAGAGGAAAGATGCCTGTGAACAATAGGGTCCTCCTCAAGCTGGGCTTTGAAATCGCGGAGGGCAGTTTCAAAGTACTTGAGAGATCTTTTAGAGTAGGCATCAGCTACAGCTTTCATAGCATCAACATCCGGACCAACATATTTTAGGCTAGCCTTAGATGAGATTATTCCAGCAACATCATCAGCTTGGTTAACCATTATCTTGCACAAGAGCATGTACTTCAAGCTGAAGATAGCTCTTGGGTCATCCAGTGCATTGAAAGCTTCAAATGCTTCAAAGAAGTAGCTGTAAGCAGTTTTGTAATCCTTTTCTTCTGCGTGAAGGATTCCACTCTGCAGATCAATAGTGCCCTGCTGAGCTGGTGGAACATAGATGGCATTCGCCGCTGTCCTTGCAGCAGTCAACGAAGCTTTGGCCTTTGGCAGGTTTCTGAGAGAGAAGTGGAGTTTGCTCTCCAACAGGTCTATGTCCACAAGGAGCAACTTGTCATCAAGTCTCCTGACTTCCTTAATAAGACCAGTCAGGAGAGTCAGGGCTTCAGTGTACTCTTGATTCTCTAGCAGAAGTGCCGCTAACCTTGCCTCCACACGCTGCCTAAGGAATGTACGCTTCTCTGCACGGGTCCATTCCACCATCTCTTTGCACAGCGAGATCTGGAGATCAGATGTTCCAGGAATCTTGGAAACAGCATCAATGATTCCACGGACAATTTTTGCAGTCTTGGCCTTGGGAATCAGTGAGAAAAACGGCCTGAGCTGGGTCAAAAGGTTTCGCAACTCCTCAGCTCTGCTCTCTTCAGTGAGGTAATTTGTAAGGTTAGTAATTGCAAGTTCTTTTGTTCTCAGTGCATCCGCAGAAGAAGACGGGTCTTGAATCACACGGTAAAGGATCGAAATTGACTTTGAAGCATCCTTAGCCTCCTGAGCCATTGCAATTGACTCAGTAGTAGCAGGAAGGTATGATGACTCCATTGAAGAAGACATGGCCACACGCTGAACTGACAGTAAAATAAACAGAAGTTACTTAGTATTATAAAATATTAGAGTAAATCAGAATTTTCTAGAACAAAGGTATGGGGATGTCAAAGTAACACAAGGAACTAGATAATGCGGAGTGCACGCATGAATTTCCTACACGATGCCTCCAACTAACAGAGGAAAAAAGGAAACATATCGGCATGCATGAATTTCCAATCAATACATATGCCTTCTTCTGAAAGCAAGGAAAATATAGTTTAGCAATTACCAAAGATAGGTCTATCACTATCTGGAATATCTAAGCAGGCACATGATCTTGACATTTAGTCATTTACAAATTCAGCCACATAACAACTGCATGTGGGGAAGACACTCACCTTGCATCTCCATATAATAGTTCTAGTCAAAAGAAGCTACTATATGCAAAGCTCATTCACTTTTGTTTCAATTTAAGTTAGGTAGTGTAACCATGTTCTTTAGATCTGCAGGGTAATTCCCAGAGTGCAACACTGGGCAGAATCAATCGTTTCTCAACAGTGTCCCAAGATCTAACTGGACAAAGAATCATCTGGGGTGTTAAGTTGGAATAAATCAAAATTGAGATGCTGCCCAATCCAGCATATCATGGTAAAACGCAGTGCTACCAGTGCCTCTTATAACTCAGTAGAATTGACAATACCCTTCACCAAGCTAGAATTCCCAAGTCTAATTACCATAACCAGAATCCCTAAACCCTAACCTCAGAATAAACAGCCAAGACAGGGGAAAAGCATGCTGCCCTTAGCGAGATCCAATTTCTCCCCTCTAACAAAGCACACAGGCTTGCAGTACCCACTACGCGGAGCCAGCAGCTGATTTCTGCGGAGTATTAACAAAGACCACGCAGGCCGCAACAGTGAAATCCAGAACAAACTACCCACCAAAGCACAGGTTTATTTATTTTTGCGTCAGATTGCTAACGCGATGGGAAATCATACACTAGAAGTCTCGGAATAATCCAGGGAAGTTAGGGTTCGTTACCAACAGAAGGAAGCGATCCGAGCACGGATGGATCTGTCCAGTAGGGCGGAGGAGGACGACGACGAGTGGGAGAGGGGGGATTCTTTCGAGGTGGCGTGCCTCCGGGGACGGAGACCAGGAGGCGTGTTCCGGCCTTCCGGGGGAGAGCTCGGCGGTGTTGGCGTGAGAAATCTGGGGGAGACGAACGGGGAAGCCAGTCGAGCACGAAGGGAAAGGGTGCGAGAGTAATCTTTGGTATTTCCGGGAGTGTTTTCGCACAATTCGAGCGGGCCGAATAATCGAATACGTTCTCAGGTACAGCCTACAGGCCCAACAGCGGCTAAATGTTGGGCTTACAAGTACCAAGGCCATGTAAGCCCAAAGGATTGCATGCATGCGACTATTTAGGAGCCTACAATAGCGGGAGCTATATCCAAAAATTTAATTCTGGAGTCATCTACACCTGGTGAAGATCTTTAATTCCCCCCTCCCTAAAAAGAAAAAAGAAAAAAGAAAGAACAGTATCCCCTCAAAAAAAGATGAACAGTAAATAGCAGAAAAATAAGTAAAGATCTTTTCTTTTGGTGCAAGATACTCAAATGCGTGATGTTCGCGTAAAATATTGGGGTGTTTGAACATTCAAGGAGATCGTGAAAAAACAACATAAAATTGGGTGTGAGCAATGCTGTTTTTAAAAGTTTATCATATACCCAAAAATTGTCTTTTTTTTCCACGAGCTTCTCGAATAACCAAACTTCACCAAATTTTGCACGGACATCACACATGTAAGCATATTGCACCACATGATTTTTTACTATTTCAAAGAATTTTCCTGTCGCACACCCGGACTTACCTAAGCTCGGTGTAGAATAGCCGCATCCGAGCTATGCCTCGCCTGAAGCGCGGCGCGAGCGGGCCGGGCCATCATTAGCAGCGCATTCGTTTTTTTGCTCTCTCCGTGTTCTTTGTTTGTTTTTTCACTGTTTGGGCTGTTTTTCCTCATGTGTTGTGTTTTGTTCTGTTTGTCGCGGTCGCGTTTTGTGTTATTTTTTCTTATGGTATCTTTTTTTACCTCTTCATCGGTTTTCTTCTGTTTTTATTTTTCTTCTTCATTGGTTTTCTCTGTGTTATTGTATGGTTTCTTTGGTTTTTTCTTTCTTGGTTTCTTTGTTTTTGTCCTTTGTTTTTGTTTCTTTGTCGGTTTTCACTGGTTTTTTTCTTGTCTTTCTTATTTTCTTTTTTTTCTTTGGTTATGTATGTTTTTTCTTGGGTTTCACTATTTTCCAAATATACGATCTACATTTTGTTTTAGATACAAGTTTTGAACACTTATTTGAATATAAGTTTAACATTTTTTATATACATGGTGAACATTTTTTAATGGGAATACACAGGTTTTCACATACAATATACATTTTTTGTGTACACCAGGAACACTTTTATATACATGTTTAACATTTTTTAATACAAAAATAGCTTTTTCTAAAATAAAGGTGAGGGAGCCGAAAATGAGTCTCTGTCCCGGTGCGAGATTGCCGGTCCTGATGGAAGATGCAATCTGGAGTCGGTCACCGGCCGACGCAGGTCATGCCTAGCTTACCAACGGATGATGCAGAAAATAGTTAGTGACCTCGATAGGGTCCATTCTTCATAAAACTAGTAGTCTTGTCGATGCTATATCTTTGCTCATGGTTGAACTTGAAAGACAATTTATCCATATGCATCCTTGCATACAGAGGATTTTTCTAGAATTTTTCAATATTGAGCATTCTTCTGTTAAGCGAGCAGCTACCATCTTTTTAGCTCATGAGTTCAGATTTATAATAAAAGAGGTTGATACATCAACAACGTATCTATCATTTTTGATTGTTACATACTATTATATTATCTGTTTGGATGTTTAATGGGCTTTAATATGCACTTTTATATTATTTTTGGGACTAACGTATTAGCCGGAGGTCCAGTGCTAGTTGCTGTTTTTTTGCCTATTTCAGTGTTTCGTAGAAAAGGAATATCAAGCGGAACGAAACCTTCACGGGGATCTTTTTTGGAACAAACATAATCCAAAAGACTTGGAGTGGAGGTCAAGGAAGCAACAACGCGGCCACGAGGTAGGGAGGCATGCCCAGGGGGTAGGGGATGGAAATATGCCCTAGAGGCAATAATAAAGTTATTCCTATATCATGATAAATATATATTATTCATGCTAGAATTGTATTAACCGGAAACATGATACATGTGTGAATACATAAACAAACAAATTGTCACTAGTATGCCTCTACTTGACTAGCTCGTTGATCAAAGATGGTTATGTTTCCTAGCCATAGACAAAGAGTTGTCATTTGATTAACGGGATCACATCATTAGAAGAATGATGTGATTGACTTGACCCATTCCGTTAGCTTAGCACTTGATCATTTAGTATGTTGCTATTGCTTTCTTCATGACTTATACATGTTCCTATGACTATGAGATTATGCAACTCCCATTTACCGGAGGAACACTTTGTGTGCTACCAAACATCACAACGTAACTGGGTGATTATAAAGGTGCTCTACAGGTGTCTCCGAAGGTACTTTTTGGTTGGCGTATTTAGAGATTAGGATTTGTCACTCCGATTCTCGGAGAGGTATCTCTGGGCCCACTCAGTAATGCACATCACTTAAGCCTTGCAAGCATTGCAACTAATGAGTTAGTTGCGGGATGATGTATTACGGAACGAGTAAAGAGACTTGCCGGTAACGAGATTGAACTAGGTATTGAGATACCGACGATCGAATCTCGGGCAAGTAACATACCGATGACAAAGGGAACAACGTATGTTGTTATGCGGTTGGACCGATAAAGATCTTCGTAGAATATGTAGGAGCCAATATGAGCATCCAGGTTCCGCTATTGGTTGACCGGAGACGTGTCTCGGCCATGTCTACATAGTTCTCGAACCCGTAGGGTCCGCACGCTTAAAGTTCGATGACGGTTATATTATGAGTTTATGTGTTTTGATGTACCGAAGGTAGTTCAGAGTCCCGGATGTGATCACGGACATGACGAGGAGTCTCAAAATGGTCAAGACGTAAAGATCGATATATTGGACGACTATATTTGGATACCAGAATGGTTTCGGGTGAGATCGGGATAATACCGGAGCACCGGAAGGTTATCGGAACCCCCCAGGAGGTATATGGGCCTTAATGGGCTTTAGTGGAAAGGAGGGGAAAGGAGCAAGGGAGGGGACGCGCCCCCCAAGCCCAATCCAAATTGGGAGGGGGGCCGCCCCCCTTTCCTTCCTCCCTCCTTCCTCTTCCTTCCCTCTCCCTCTCCAAATAGGAAAAGGAGGAGTCCTACTCCCGGTGGGAGTAGGACTTCCCCCCTTGGGCGCGCCTCCTCCACTTGGCCGGCCCTCTCCTCCCCCCTTTATATATGGAGGAGAGGGGCACCCCATAGACACAACAATTGATCTCTTGGATATTTTAGCCGTGTGCGGTGCCCCTCTCCACCATAGTCCACCTCAATAATATCGTAGCGGTGCTTAGGCAAAGCCCTGCAACGGTAGAACATCAACATCGTCACCACACCGTCGTGCTGACGAGACTCTCCCTCAAAGCTCGGCTGGATCGGAGTTCGAGGGACATCATCGAGTTGAACGTGTGCAGAACTCGGAGGTGCCGTACATTTGGTACTTGATCGGTCGGATCATGAAGATGTACGACTACATCAACCGCTTTGTGCTAATGCTTCTGCTTACGGTCTACGAGGGTACATAGTCGACACGCTCCCCTCTTGTTTCTATGCATCACCATGATCTTGCGTGTGCGTAGAATTTTTTTGAAATTACTGCGTTCCCCAATAGTGGTATCAGTGCCTGGTATTATGCGTTGATGTTATATACACGAGTAGAACACAAGTGAGTTGTGGGTGATACAAGTCATACTGCTTACCAGCATGTCATACTTTGGTTTGGCGGTATTGTTGGATGAAGCGGCCCGGACCGACATTACGCGTACGCTTACGCGAGACTGGTTCTACCGACGTGCTTTGCACACAGGTGGCTGGCGGGTGTCAGTTTCTCCAACTTTAGTTGAACCGAGTGTGGATACGCCCGGTCCTTGAGAAGGTTAAAACAACACTAACTTGACGAACTATCGTTGTGGTTTTGATGCATAGGTAAGAACGGTTCTTGCTCAGCCCGTAGCAGCCACGTAAAACTCGCAACAACAAAGTAGAGGATGTCTAACTTGTTTTTGCAGGGCATGTTGTGATGTGATATGGTCAAGACATGATGCTATATTTTATTGTATGAAATGGTCATGTTTTGTAACCGAGTTATCGGCAACTGGCAGGAGCCATATGTTTGTCGCTTTATTGTATGCAATGTAATCGCCCTGTAATTGCTTTACTTTATCACTAAGCGGTAGCGATAGTCGTAGAAGCAATAGTTGGCGAGATGACAATGATGCTACGATGGAAATCAAGGTGTCGCACCGGTGATGATGGTGATCATGACGGTGCTTCGGAGATGGAGATCACAAGCACAAGATGATAATGACCATATCATATCACCTATATTGATTGCATGTGATGTTTATGTTTTATGCTTCTTATTTTTGCTTTGATTAATGGTAGCATTATAAGATGATCTCTCACTAAATTCCAAGATAAAAGTGTTCTCCCTGAGTATGAACCATTGCCAAAGTTCGTCGTGCCTAGACACCACGTGATGATCGGGTGTGATAAGCTCTACGTCCATCTACAACGGGTGCAAGCCAGTTTTGCACACGCAGAATACTCAGGTTAAACTTGACGAGCCTAGCATATGCAGATATGGCCTCGGAACACTAATACCGAAAGGTCGAGCGTGAATCATATAGTAGATATGATCAACATAGTGATGTTCATCATTGAAAACTACTCCATTTCACGTGATGATCGGTTATGGTTTAGTTGATTTGGATCACGTGATCACTTAGATGATTAGAGGGATGTCTATCTAAGTGGGAGTTCTTAAGTAATATGATTAAATTGAACTTAAATTTATCATGAACTTAGTACCTGATAGTATTTTGCATGTCTATGTTTGTTATAGATAGATGGCTCGTGCTGTTGTTCCATTGAATTTTAATATGTTCCTTGAGAAAGCAAAGTTGAAAGATGATGGTAGCAATTACACGGACTGGGTCCGTAACTTGAGGATTATCCTCATTGCTGCACAGAAGAATTACGTCCTGGAAGCACCGCTAGGTGCCAAACCTGTTGCAGGAGCAACAGCAGATGTTATGAACGTCTGGCAGAGCAAAGCTGATGACTACTCGATAGTTCAGTGTGCCATGCTTTACGGCTTAGAATCGGGACTTCAACGACGTTTTGAACGTCATGGAGCATATGAGATGTTCTAGGAG